TCTAACTGGCGATCTTGATCTTTGACCTCTTTTTCTTGGGGCGGTTCTGGTGAAGAAGAGGGAGACCTAGACTTTCGGCGTCTTTCCCTCGCTACAGGAGCCTTTTTTTGTTCAACCAATTTACTTGAAACTGTAACATTTCTCCTGGGTTCATCTTCAGATGAACTTGACCTTGAATGTTTCTTACCCTTCGAGGCTTCTTTCTCCGAATCTGAATCCGAGGTATCGCCTCTCTTCACTTGCACCTTACGAGATGGAGATCCTTTCTTCAGTTGTACTGTTCTTGTGAGGCGCGACGCTAATGCCGCTCTACGAAGCTTTTCTGTTTCAGACTCCGAATCCTCTTTATCGTCATTGTGACGTCGATCGTGTATTTCACCCTCTTCAGATGATGAATCGGTGCCCTGGTGACGTCTACTTGGCACACGTTCCTCTTCAGGCTGTTTTTTCCGGATTCGGTCTCTCAAATCAATTTTTTCCGGATCACGATTGCCCCCACGACCAGAATCCATCCCATTTCTTTGTGAAACATCTAAATCTGAACCCTCACTGCTGCTATCTCTTCTAGATTTATCTCCCCTTTTAGAAATTAAACAGGTAATGAAGATTTACACATTTTTTTCCTGATTTGTATAAGTTAGTTTATACAAATTTATTTTAGTTCAATTGTGTTGGAAGCTATAACTTATAAGCTTATTGAAACAATCTCAAATCCGTTCCTGGAACCAACCAGTACTAAGCTATGAATGTAAAGTTTCTTGCTTAAGGAAACAACGGCTTGCCCCTTGACAGGGCTTGAAGCAATCTTTAGATTACTAGTCCAACGCGTTAACCACTCGGCCAGGCCGCCACTTGTCTAAGTTGAAAAGCAATTCTTATGTTATATATTTAATATTGCAATTCAACAAACTATCAAACAGAAATATCAAATGAAACTGTTAGTTTAGAAATCACGAGCATACATTTTAATATATCTTGATATGTAAACAGATAAAAATTCAACCGTTTGCATTTTATGTCAAATCATAATAAAATGTGTGACGTTAGAAAGTTATCATACAAGTGTAATCCTAACAAACTGTGTTTGTGTTATCACTTCAACATGAATATAACCCTTACCACACCAAATATCTTAAATAAACTTGTCCATCCTTTAATCAGGACAAAAATCTTTTATTGTGATTTGAGAAAACCTAAAAATCAGTACTGACTAGAAAAGGAACAGTGCAGACCATGATCAGGCTGCCTGCTGGCCTTAAACTGCACTGGTCACATGGGTAGAATCTGTTGCAGCCAGCAGACTTAGGGTTATTGTTTATTACAAATTGAGCTGTGTCACGACAAAACCAACATAATGGGTTTGAGACCAGCATGGATCCAGACCAGCCTGCGCATCCGCGCAGTCTGATCAGGATCCATACTGTTCGCTTTTAAACCTTTTAACAAGTAGAGAAACTGATAGCGAACAGCATGGATCCTGATCAGACTGCGCCGATGCGCAGGCTGGTCTGGATCCATGCTGGTCGCAAACGTACTATGTTGGTTTTGTCGTGATGCGGCTCAATTTATTTTTAAAGTACATCTATTATAAAAGTGACAACATACATGTATATAATGTATAATCTTACTTTTTATCTTTTTTCTTCTTGTCCCTCCTTTTGTCTTGTTCTCCTTCACTATATTTTAGAAATAAAATAATAATTCTTTTTTATATCTGGTTCTGTGTGATGTCTGATTGAACATATAATTTACACTTAACCTCAACAGGGAGGCTATGCATAGATCCCTAAATCATCAGATTAGAAGATACAATAAGAATTTCACCACAACATATTTGTTAACAAAAGAGCACATGTATGTCAATGTTGGAAAAAAAGAGTGAGAGAATGAACTGAAATTTTGTGCACAAGTTACTTATCTGGACCAACATCAAATGGAGCATTAAAGGAACTCATAACCCTCAAAACGTAAAATTCTAATTTCTTACATAGATCAGCTAGGGCACATAAACAGAAAGATATGCAAAAGATAATTATGAAATAAATTTAGAAATAGATTGCAAATCATATTTTTGTACTATTTCTAGCCCGACTTTAGCAAAAAGCGTTTCAATTTTGGGTATTGCTACACATTTATTCTGATAGAACAGAGTGAGTGAATAACTGAAATTTTGCACACAAGCTATTTGTCTAGACCTACATTGGAAATGCAAAAAAAATTCAAGTTCTGTCCTGTCAAAAAAACCTCAGTGGAGTCCCTTTAATCTCTATAAATTTTTTCAAGTCACATCATGTCAAAAAACCTCAGTGAAGCCCCTTTAAATAAGAGATGTCATTAACACACAAACTTATAATAAATGATTACCTGTCACTATTGCTCCTATCTCTACCACGCTGAAACTTATCTCTCAAATCTTGTTGCCCTCTTCCTTCCCTTTCCCTCCGCCCTAACCTGTCCCTCAACTCCGCCCTGTTAGGTCTGTCTTCCCTAAACCGACGATCTTGTTGATCACGCTCCATGCGTTCCCCTCTGCGATCCAATTGGTCCCTTTCCATCCGGTCACCTCTTCTGTTCGGTGGCTGTTCTCGCTCCATGCGATCACCTCTTTCCCACCGGCCTTGACCTTGAGCCTCTCTATTATTGTCTTGCCCCTTTGGTTTGGCACGCTGCTGCTCTCTGCGCCAATGTGGCGGAGTGGCACTTCTTTCACGACTCCAACTTCTGTGAAAACGCTACCAGGGGAAAAAAAAAATCAAAACAGATAAGAATAAAGCATGAATAAAGAAAATCCCACAAAAGTTGTACTGACAAATGATATATCAGAAAAGAATCAAACCATTTAAACTGTGGTCAAACATGATCTCTTTTTTTTGCAGTATCACTATCAGTAACTGTTACATTCTGTTATTATTGCAAAAACTTTTATGTTATGTTATGTATTGTTTAGAACAAAATGGAGTCAAACTATCTTCAAGCAAAATGTCACTGATGAATTCAGGACACAGCTGTGAAGAAGGCTTAACAGTGATATGATGCACTTTTCCAAAATAAAATTACTGAAATGGTAAGTTTGAAACAATACTGAATTGTTTTTCCAACAAAAAAAAAGAACAACAAACCAACAACTGAACACCGCTTTTAGACTGGATCTCACAAATCTAAATTCTTTACTCTGAATACTCCAGATACTGAGTTTTTACTCTGATCATGAAACAAGAGGGGCCATGATGGCCCTGAGGGTCGCTCACCTGTATATAGGCCCCCAACCCCCCCCCCCCCACGTTGCAGGGCCAATTTAACCCAAGGGCTTTTATTTGCACAAACTCGGTAGACACCCATAAGAAGATGTTTCATGCTAAACATCTAAGCTCTAGCTCATTGGGCTTTTTAAAAGAAATTTTTTTTAAAGTTTTTACTATACACATATAGTTAAAAACAATGACACCCCTGGGGCCGGGCCAGTTTTGACCCCAGGGCTTTTATTTGAACAAACTTTGTAGACACTTACTAGAAGATGTTTCATGCTTAATATCTAAACTCTAGCTATTTGGGTTTTTTCAATCAAGATTTTTAAGTTTTTGCTATACACATATAAAGAAAATCAATGACCCCCGGGGCGGGGCCAATTTTGACCCCAGGTCTTTTATTTGAACAAACTTTGTAGACACTCACTAAAAGATGTTTCATGCTTAATATCTTAACTCTAGCTATTTGGGTTTTTTCAAAGAAGATTTTTAAGTTTTTGCTATACACATATAAGAAAAATCAATGACCCCCGGGGCGGGGCCAATTTTGACCCCAGGGCATTTATTTGAACAAACTTGGTAGACACCTATTAGAACATGTTTGATGCTAAATATCTTAGCCATAGCTCTTCGAGTTCTTTAAAAGAAGATTTTTTAAGTTTTTACTATATGCATATCAGGAAAATCAATGATCCCCCAGGGCGGGCCAATTTGACCCCAGGGCTTTTCTTTGAACAAACTTGGTAGACACCCATTAGAACATGTTTCATGCTAAATATCTTAGCTCTAGCTCTTTTGGTTCTTTAAAAGAAGATTTTTTAAGTTTTTGCTATATGTATATAGGAAAAATCAATGACCCCCCGGGGCGGGGCCAATTTTGACCCAAGGGCTTTTATTTGAACAAACTTGGTAGACACTTATTAGAACATGTTTCATGCTAAATATCTTAGCTTTAACTCTTTTGGTTCTTTAAAAGAAGATTTTTTTAAGTTTTTACTATATGCAAATAGGGAAAATCAATGACGCCCCTGGGGCGGGGCCAATTTTGACCCCAGGGCTTTTGTTTGAACAAACTTGGTAGACACTCACTAGAAGATGTTTCATGCCAAATATCTAAGCTCTAGCTCTTATGGTTTTTTAAAAGAAGATTTTTTTAAGTTTTTACTATATGCATATAGGGAAAATCAATGACCCCCCGGGGCGGGGCCAATTTTGACCCCAGGGCTTTTATTTGAACAAACTTGGTAGACACTCACTAGAAGATGTTTCATGCCAAATATCTAAGCTCTAGCTCTTATGGTTTTTTAAAAGAAGATTTTTTTAAGATTTTACTACATGTTTATAGGAAAAATCAATGACCCCCCGGGGCGGGGCCAATTTTGACCCAAGGGCTTTTATTTGAACAAACTTGGTAGACACTTATTAGAACATGTTTCATGCTAAATATCTTAGCTTTAACTCTTTTGGTTCTTTAAAAGAAGATTTTTTAAGTTTTTACTATATGCATATAGGGAAAATCAATGACCCCCCGGGGCGGGGCCAATTTTGAGCCCAGGGGTTTTATTTGAACAAACTTGGTAGACACCCATTAGAACATGTTTCATGCTACATATCTTAGCTGTAGCTCTTTTGGTTCTTTAAAAGAAGATTTTTTAAGTTTTTACTATATGTATATAGGGAAAATCAATGACCCCCCGGGGCGGGGCCAATTTTGACCCCAGGGCTTTTATTTGAACAAACTTGGTAGACACTCACTAGAAGATGTTTCATGCCAAATATCTAAGCTCTAGCTCTTACGGTTTTTTAAAAGATGATATTTAAAGTTTTTTCTTTCGGTTGCCATGGCAACCAGAGTTCTGCATGGAATTAAATTCTTTGAACAATTTTTAAAGGTGACCACCAAAGGAACATTCCTGTGAAGTTTGGATGAAATTGGCTTAGTGGTTTATGAGGAGATGTCATTTAAAGTAAAAGTTTACGGACGGACGGACGGACGGACGGCCGGACGGACGGACGACGGACGGACGCCGGACGAAAAGCGATCACAAAAGCTCACCCTGTCACTATGTGACAGGTGAGCTAAAAACAATTAAAAATACAGTGTAACTGCTGCAGAGTGGCCCTCTGTACAACAATTACCTCTTTACAACAACACTATTATTTCTTCCAGAAATAAAGACTAATACTATATTTTACCTCTGTAGAGCAACACCTCTTAGGTAGCAACAACCAAAATATTTGTCTCCCAAAGGGTATTGCTTTACACAGGTTTAACTGTATAACATATTTTAATGAACTTACAATAGTTCCTCTCCCCTTTATCTTATCTCCGCTGGATGTGTATCGTATCCTTGACCTCGATTGTTCCCTCTGATTCTCTTTGCCAGGTCTTAAAACAAGAGAAAAATTGTTATGTCATAAGAAAAAGATTAACATAAGTGAATTGTCTTTAATGACAAAGAAAAGAAAAATTCTGTTTCAATTAAAAATGACGATATGATTAGTATAAATATATTTATTCAAGTCATGCAACTGGATTTAATGACTTTCAAATCAGCTATCTTGATTTAACAAGTACTTAAATCATATGAAGAGACCTGAACATGACCAGGGTAGGGCTCAAACATACCATTTCTGGGTGGAGTGGCAATCTTTAAGTTACATTTAATAAATTTCATAAAAACAGAAATAGCGACATTCCATTAATAAATTGGGCTTTATATCGACTCCAGACCTTATCCAGGTGTCCAGGCAACCAAAATGAGTTTTATAAGCATAAAAAATGGACAACCTCATTGTGGCGAAATCGGAAGTACAATATCTGTTTGCATGAGAAACTCCGCCTTCAGATCATCTGTACATCAATATTAAATCAACAAACATGACTATAAGCAGCAGTCCTAATTTAACAGTATATTTCCGCATTGTAACGGATCTTTTCATACAAATTCAATCTTTTTTTATGAGATGATTACTTTTTACTGAACCTCAGGCCTTGTGCGCCGTGAAGTTAAACAGTTAAAATGTGTTTGCACAAGAATATCTCTTAATACAGTTGTTACTATATATAGTAACAAAATTGCCTATGATTTCAACTGATTATGAGTGTCACGTGACCTATTATGAGTTTGCGGCCCGGGGCCGAGAACTAGTTATCAGCCCGCAGAACATGTGCACGTGCACAAACTGAAACAATGACGTCACATTTAACGTCATCATACAGTTATCTGTAAAAGTGAAAGTAGGTTGTCAGCACGAATCGCTTTATTTTTATTATGAGACCCTAAGCGTATTTAGTACAAACACATGTTTGTTACTATTGAAATTTGAAGAAATAATACGACAAATTCATTCCAAAAAATGAAAATAAAACTTGCTTCTTGGTTCTACTGCTTTAAACACGCAAACAGAAAACATCTCTGTACAGAACAGTGAGGAGTAGACAAGAATTTCAACGAAAGAACTTCAAAGTCTTTTTGTTTTTGATTATGTTTTTTTTTTTTTTTTTAATGCTACTATTAGATTACCAAGTGTATTAAAGACATTAATACACGTCAGCGTAGGGCCGGAAGGTGATAATCGGCCCTGAATGAATAATGGCCCTCGGGCTAAAGCCCTCAGGTCCATTATCCATTTTGCGGGCCGATTATCACCTTCCGGCCCTCTCCTGCCGTGTATTAACCTCTTAATATTTGTTGTGTTCCGGATAGCAGCTATAACACTGTGACGTAGCGCATACACAAGCTGATTATAATCTTCATTTGCATGTTAAAATTCGTATACGAACTTTAGTGTTACCGTGGGGTTTTTCGTTTAAAATCCTTATTTATGAACAATATTTGTTGAGATTTACAACAAAACTGTTAAAAAGGTTAATGAATCTGTAGAATGCTTGGTTTTTAGGCCAACGGCAAAAATATTTTTACATATTTATTTAATGTAGCTTTAATCACTTTGACACAAAACCCTTTTATAAAGATTAAACAATTTTTGAAAGACAGGTATCAGTCATTCATAAAACATTCTAATAAAAGGAAATTGTTATATTGGAGTGGGTGAAAAAAGGGATAAAAATGTCCGGGAAAAAAAATAGTACAGGTACAGACAAATGCTGCAGAATTTCTGGTAATATTTTAACCAATAAAAAATTTCCACAGAATCTGAAGATATACCACTTTGAACAAAATTAACTCACTGATCCATGTCTTGCCTATCCCTAGACAGAAACTTGTTACTAGGGACATCGGGAATTTCCTCAGGACGTATATTACCATATACTGTACTAGATTCTTCCTCTTTCTTGATCTCCCCTTCATCTTCTGAACTATAAATAGAAATATTTCATCTTTTCTGCACTATAAATAGAAATATTTCATCTTCTGAACTATAAATAGAAATAGTTCATCTTCTGAACTATTAATAGAAATATTTCAACTTCTGAACTGTAAATAGAAATATTTCATCTTTTCTGAGCTATAAAAGAAACATTTAATCTTATGTACTCTTAGTAGAAATATTTCATCTTCTGAACTATAAATAGAAATAGTTCATCTTCTGAACTATTAATAGAAATAGTTCATCTTTTCTGCACTATAAATAGAAATATTTCATCTTCTGAACTATAAATAGAAATATTTCATCTTCTGAACTGTAAATAGAAATATTTCATCTTCTAAACTGTAAATAGAAATATTTCATCTTCTGGACTATAAAAGAAACATTTAATCTTTTGTACTCTTAATAGAAATATTTTATCTTTTCTGAGCTATAAAAGAAACATTTAATCTTATGTACTCTTAGTAGAAATATTTCATCTTCTGAACTATTAATAGAAATATTTCATCTTCTGAACTATTAATAGAAATATTTCATCTTCTGAACTGTAAATAGAAATATTTCATCTTCTGGACTATAAAAGAAACATTTAATCTTTTGTACTCTTAATAGAAATATTTCATCTTCTGAACTATAAGTATTTTATTTTCTGAACTATGAATAGAAATATTTTATCTTCTGAATCTTACACCAGCTGCCGGTACAGGCCGGAATATCTAGCTTGAGGGTAACTGTTTAGGGCCGTAACGAGGCTCTGCCAAGTTTCCCCTAGAAAGTTTTCGGAGAGCAAGATATTCCCTTCTGCACTGACAGCGGGTATTTGATTCTTTTTCTTGCATATTACATATCAATTATTTTCAGAATAGAAACTACGAAAACTGATATTCTCATTACGCACTTTTTTCTTACAGGAGCGTTTGAACTGACAACTTCATTCATAACAGTTAAGTGACGTCATCCTAAGAATGCAAGTAATTCATAAAATGAGTGCGGCAATGACGTCATTTAAAGCATGTGACTTGTCTTACATGGGGGTTGTAAGACAGGGTTTTCTAGCACCTGTGTTAACGGTAGATAATCCTGTCTGATATGCAAGAAATAGAAATATTTCATATTTTCTGAACAATTAAGAGAAATATTTCATCTTCTGAACTACAAATAGAAATATTTAATCTGTTCTGAACTTTAAATAGAAATATTTCATCTTCTGATCTATAAATAGAAATCTTTCATCTTCTGAACTATAAATAGAAATATTTCATATTTTCTGAACAATAAATAGAAATATTTCATCTTCTGAACTATAAATAGAAATATTTCATCCTCTGAACTATAAATAGAAATATTTCATCTTTTCTGTTCCATAAATAGAAATATTTCATCTTTTCTGAACAATAAATAGAAATATTTCATCCTCTGAACTATTCTATAAAAAGAAATATTTCATCTTCTGAACTATAAATAGAAATATGTCATATTTTCTAAACAATTAATAGAAATATTTCATCTTCTGAACTATAAGTAAACATTACATCTTCTGAACATTGATAAGAAACAATACATCTCCTGAACTATAAAAGGAAATATTTTATCTACTGAACAATAGATCAAAACCATTCAGCTTCTACACTCTAACAAAAAATATTTTAGCTTCTGAACTATAAAAGGAAATATTTTATCTGCTGAACAATAGATAGAAACAATTCATATACAACACTACAGCAATAATATTTAAGCTTCTGAACTACAAATTCAAATGATTTATCTTCTAGACTATAAATACTTCATCTTGAGCTGCTCTATTATTTCAGGCATAGGCAGGCAATCTGATAAGAATCGTGCCCGTCCTTTAGCTAGCTTGATAGCCTCCACTAATGGAAAATCTAAAGTCGTTAGCGGGATTCAACTGAGTGTTACAAAATCAATACCATAATTCAGTATCATAGGTTTTACCTAGACTGTTTTTGCTTCTTCTTTTTCTTCTCTTTTTTCTTTTTCTTGGATTTTTTCTTTTCTTTTTTCTTCTTTTTCTTCGTCTTTTTCACTTGTTCAGAGTCACTAGAATCCAATTCAGAGCTCGACTCTGCAGAATCAGACTCCTTTTCCGACTCGGCAACACTTTTCTTCTTTTTACCTATAAAATATATACAATTTACACTTTTGACCTATAAAATATATACAATTTACAGTGTTAATATCCATGCTTGAGTTCTGGGTCTCGGTCAGTGACTTGTTTCATTAAACAAGATAAATTGGAAAACAAAAACACTGCATATTAATGCTCGTCTGTTAAAATGACCACTTTTGACAAAAGATAAAAAGGGGCATAACTCCAAAAATATAACTTCCAAACTTATGCCCCTTGTCTTACAACTGTTTCTTGTCATGATAAGCATGTATTCAATATTTCATACTGATACCTTTAAAATTGATTGAGTAATGGCTTACATTAACGATTTTGCACAATGATAACACAGCAATCATAATAGCTTAACTTTCTTTTCGAAACACAAGCTAAAAATGCTGCACATTAATTTATCAATTTCAATAACAAGAGATGTTTGTAAGAAAAAAAAACCCCACAAAAATCTTTAAGAGAAACTCCCTAGAAGAAAATTATTATGTCTGGAAATACTATTACCTTTTGCTTTAGGCTGTAATACCAACTCTCCACTGTTAGCTATTGTTACAGGGACTGAGGGACGGTTTTTCTTGTCAGTATCGAGGTTTTCTATCTGTTTGACAATCTCCTGACCGCTGACAACCTGACCGAATACTACATGTTTCCTGAAATAGACCATTGTATTATAATTTAATTATATTCTAAAGTATATTTTAATGCATGGGTTTGGTCGAGATACAATGACTGAAAAAGTTTGTGATGATTTATCATTTACGTATTTTTTAGATCAATTAATGTCAGTCTGCATAGCTTGATAGGGAGGGCATCAGTTTTGTAATCAAGGGGTATGTGGTTCAAACCTTACTCTGTGTAAATTGATCTCAGACATTGAGTTTAACGGTCATTTGTCTCTCATGGATGATTAAAAAATCATGTGGTTGGTTAGCAAGGTAAGAGTAATAGCTCAGCTTACATACAGAGCAAAATATTCAAAGCATGTACAACAAAACTGCTGATTTGAATTTAAAATTTACATCCCCATCTTAGGTGTTTCTTCAAATAGGCAAGTATTTGTCTTTGTTTGGTTTGGTTTTACACAATTTAGGTCATATGGTGCTGAAACAGGAAAGATGATTATGCTAACCTTGTGTGTTACAAACTTAAAGTAACACCAGGGGTCAAAACCACTTCACCTGCAGGAACTAATAGATGCATTAGACTCTAGTAATTTCTAGCTCATTTAGTTTTGTTTATTTCATTTTACGCCTTTTCCCAACAGTATTTCAGTCATAAAGGCGGGTAGTTTCCTAACCATCATTCCTGGAGAGTTACACCAGTACTAGACTACCTTCCTCCGTGCTAAACTACCAAAGCATCTCCCGGGGATCGAACCCACACCAGAGAGGTAACTAGCTCATTTAGTCGTCTCTTATGATCACACAGGGATAAACAGTGGCTGCATGCATTTCTGACACCTCAAACCTTAAAGGCAACCCCTAAGGGGAAAGCAAGTAAATACAGCTACAGGAATTCAATATGGCTACAAGAATAGATGTCTTGTTAACAAAAATATGAAAATACATACCCATCTAAATGAGGAGCAGGCTTTGTAGTTCTATTGATCAGCAATATGAAAAATACAAAAACGAAATTTGGCCATTATTAAATGCTTCGTGCCAAGGCCTAGTATATCAAAATACACAAATGTAGATCACAAAAATTGATAAAATGTGAAGCTATTATCAAAGAATAAAACTTAAAATATTATAAAAATAATTTCACCTATAATTGGAATTCAAGCAAGGACATTAATAAATTATGGTAGTATATTTTATAATTCATAGATCACATATTTCGAAAAAATATATACATGTAAATTGTATAAAACAATTGTAAATAACACTGACACTTTATAGTCACTAAGGAATTGCTTTCACCATTTGAAACTGTCGGGAAAAGAAGATTAAAGTTATATAAAATGGTGAATGATAATATTTTTATGCAAATAATATTCTCTTGTTGCCCTGAAACAGTTACCTGGCGGTGTCATCCCACACTGCTACACCTCTCTATATGTAAGTATAAAATGATAAAAATGTGAAAACAAACGCCCTTTTTACTTTCGTTTTTTTTAATAAGCAACAAATGAAACTGATTTGCTGTTTGAATAAGACACTGTTAAGGAGCATAAGGCAAAGTTTACACTTTTCTTTTTTGGAGTATAAAGATCCAACAGGCTTCTGGTATGAATAGGCATGCCACACATGGGGTAGAATCACCTACTTTCAATATTTCTAAGCTATCTCACAAAAAAAAAACATTAAATGCCTCTTATACAAAACAGCATCAGTCATACACATGAAAAAAAATATGTTCAACCAAAAAAATACAAAAAAAAACAATATTTTAAAAGTTGAAATAAGCAAAAATTTTTTTTACTTTTGCGAAACTCCTGTTCTTTACAAGCTACAAAAAGTTTGTAAAAAGTGTGATAAAAATAGTAAAGGAAGATTCTGTTACCAACTTTGCTAGATACTTACCTTTAGTTTAATATTGTACCTTAGCAATTTTGCTCTATTTACTTTTTCTTACTTTAAACTCACCTGTTAAATGCAAGTCTTGATTGTTGCTTTTTAATCACAATTTATGTACTGGCAAGTTTAAATGTAACTGTATGACATGGGGGTCATTGTATGTACAAACCATGATTTTTGATAGCGCCATCTATCTGCCAAACACTATCAAATTTATCAAGGGAACCAAACTTTCCTTGACACAAAATAATGAACAATTGACCAAACTTTCTTGTTTGTTACAACACTGTCAAAACTTACTTTTGCTTGTGTTAAATTGTTTGATATATTAACAGAAGGATTCTGTTGATCTTTTACCTAGAAAGTAATTAAATGAATGGACAGGATCCATTTCTTAAGAAAACAGCCTACCTGCATAGGGGAAATTTAAAACCATAGAAACTGAAGGGAAGACAACTCTGTACAGAAAGCAAGATAACTAGACCCATGCTATTCTTCCAAAGTCCATCAATGTCTATGAGCTCTAGCAACAAACACACACAACAAATATCACATTTCAAAAATGAAATTTAACACTTACATGAAGAATTGTGATCCATTAGTGTGTCCTTTTCCCCTGTTTGCCATAGATAGAAAAATTTTTTTACCATGTTTCTCTACAAAGTTTTTCATCTAAAAATCAAAAAAAAAACTTTATATTTAACACGAGAG